CCTGTGCCTGTACGCTGCATCATTTCACTATGCTTTTAAGGAATCTCTGCTAAAGTCCCATGCCATTATTGCCAGGAAGGAGATGTATCACATTTTCCTGGCAAGGAGATGCAATGTATTTGCCCGCAAAGAGATGCACAGTGCCTGAGAAGTGTGCTGCAAAGCAGCCGGGAAGAGATTACAACCAGCTGGGGAAAAAGTGCTCCTTGTGGCTGTACCACACTTCATAGCAAACCCTGAGGATGTGCTCTGCTGCCTTTCTCTGCACACAAATACCTCACCAGCCCTACCTCGAGGAACCAGCCAACAGGAGCATTGCTTCAGAGCAGCCAAAGTAGAAACAGTCTCATTGGTGGGGACCTCATCCTGTCCCATGTCTCCATATGCTGTGGTAGTGGAGGAAAAAAAAAAAAAAAAAGAAGGGCACAGAAAAGGCTTTGATTCCCTGATGAGACACATCCAAGTCCATACTTATCCATGGAAAGTCACTGCGCTAACTGCCAAAGGCCTATTTTTTAATGTGATGTTGCATGGTTTGATTTCCCAAGCTCTAAGAACTGACATGAAGCTTCCTTGTGAGCTCTTTATTTGCATAAACCAGAAACCAGATTTCTGCGGTTTCAGAGGAATAAGAGGTTTGTTTCACATTCTGTTTAAATTAGTGGTGCAGCTCTTCCTAAGGAAAAAAAAACAACGAAATCACTCTAAAGGAAGAAAACATCATAAATCCATCTCCAGTTTCTCACTGCAATCTCACGATGGGAGGGAACGTGTATTTAATGTTAAAAATCCACAAGGAATGAGCAAGTCCAACCACTCTGGAAAGTAAAAATGAAAGTCACAGACCTGCGCAAGACAAACAGCTGCTCGAGGCTCAAAATTCTCAGAACAGTCATAGACTGATAGTCGTAGAATCACTAAGGTTGGAAAAGACTTACTAAGATATCTAGTCCAAACATTAACCCATCACCACCATGCCTACTTTGTTTAAGGAGACCAAAGGTCTCCACTTGGTTCTCGACTTGCTCTGGTGTTCTCTGGAGTCGAAGTCTGCGGGCTATTGAGCACATGTTAAGGTCAGTTGAGGGCACTGTGCCACCATCCTTAAGCCTCTACAACTCTTCTAGCTTAGGGAGATCAGCCCTGGGCTAATAGCAAAAGAGCACTGCTCCAGATTTGGGAAGTTGTCAGTACAAGCACAGCAGTTTCAGTATCACTGCATTTCATAGCTCAGGGCAGCCTGACCCAGCAGCTCACTGGTTAGATAACACGTGTTAGCAAAAGGCATGCAGCACTCACAATCACCTACAGCACAAAGGCAATTTATAATCTAGGTATTAGCTGCAGTTGTAAATTGTCCATAATCCAGTGTTCATTGCTGTTAAAAAGCTCTGCACTGCTTTGCCATGGGAGGCAAGGTCTGCTCCTAACAGTCACACAGTCTTCACTTACTATCTCCAGAGCAAATCCCCTACCTGCCCCATGCCAGGTGCACCAAATCAGCTTCCATCCCTTACCTGAACATAATCCAACACCATGCCTGCCAGGACCATGCCAAGCCCAGCCAGGAGGTAAGGCAGCAGCACCTGCAGGCAGATTGCCCCGGCTGACTCTTCCCGTGATTTTGCCATGGACGCTTTCTCCTCAGCCAACAGCTTCTGCTGGGCAGGCAGAGAGACATCCTCTGCTTCCTGGCTGCCAAGCCGGCTCTCTCTGTGTTTACCCTTGCCCTTTGCTTTGTGCCTGGGGCGCTCTCCATTCCTGCTTCTGCCCTCTTTTTTCCTCTGTCGAGCTTCCTCACCTTTCATGATGCCTTTCTCGAATCAAGGAATTTTTCTGAAAAACAAGGTCAGAACCCATAAGATGATGAAAGAAGGAACAGGATGAATCAGACACTGGAAACCCCCGGTACTTTACCCAGTCCACTAGCTTCAAGGCAAATCACACCTACTCCCAACACCCTAGATGCTCAACGACTCAGATGCTAGCACTTATTTTTACCTTCAAACCAAACCTAGAAAAGGACCTCAAAGACCATTTTGTTCCAATCCCCTGCCATGGATTGGTTCTCACCTGTGGGATTAGGCTACCCAGGGCCCCATCCAGCCTGGCTTTGAATACCTCCAGGGATGGCGCTTCCACAGCTTCTCTGGGCGACATCTTCCAGTACTTCACCATTCTCCGAGTGAAAAATTTTTCCCAACATCTAACCTAAACCATTTCCCCTTGTCATGTCACTATTTCATTCCTCTCCAATCTCTCCTTCTATAACCACATCTCTCTTCCCAGGCCTGTGCTCACACCAGAGAGCGCTGGGCATCCTGCCTCCCATGCTGGGAATACCCATAAGGCTGTGAAGGGTGCTGCAGGTACCCTGTGTTCTGGGCCACCAGATCTCATGCTGAGGATGATGAGGACCAAGGGGCTCAACAGAACCCAAGTCTGATTTCTAGCAATGATGTTGGAGAACATCACATCCTGATCATCCCGCAGTACAGAAAAGGGTATAATCCACACTTAGCGTAACACAGCTAGCTGACAATCACTCCTCAATAATAGGTTAGAATTACGGAATTGTTTGAGTTGGAAGGGACCCATAAAAGCTAGTCCAGCTCCCCTGCAATGAACAGGGACACCCACAGCTCCATCAGGTGCTCAGAGCCCATCCAGCCTGACCTCGGCTGTCTGCAAGGATGGAGCACCACCACCTCTCTGGGCAGCCTGTGCCAGTGCCTCACTGCCAGTACTGCAAAAAACTTTCTCTCATACCCAATCTAAACCTCCCTCCTTTTAGTTTGAAACAAGTTTCCCTTGTCCTATCACGCTAATTCTTCTATCTTCTGTCCAATCTGAATACTTTTGTTCCTTCTTGCACCTTTTTTTTTTTTTTTTAACATACATGCCCGTACTATAAGACTCACCTACCTACGCACAACCTGCCCAGACTCTACAGCATCCTCTAAGAAAATATAAACTTGCCAAATCATTTTCAGCCTCCCTTTTTCTGCCCTTATATCTCATTTCTTGCTATAACTCAGCTACCCTTGCCTGCCCCACATCTTTCCCCATCACTTCTCCCATCACCCGCCCAGGCTAAGGGCTGCCTGCTGCTCTCCGCTGCTCCCATTCGCAGGACACGCCCGATGCCCAACCTCAGCTCTTCCCCACTGCAATCCATCCCCTTCCTGCTCAACATCTGGGGAGGCCCCAGACACAGCTGGGCGGAGGAGAAGGAGGGGGGTGGGGGGGGAGGAGGATAGACAACCTTAATCCCCATCTCCAGGACGGAATCCGCCCCGCGTCCTCTCCCTCCACCCTGCGGCGCTTACCGGCTCGGAGCCCTCCCCGGGCTCTGCCCGCGGGCGCAGAAGGACCGCCCGCCACAGCCGGGGCGCGGCTCGGAGCCCGCCCTGCGCGGCGGCCGCGGGTTCGAGCCCGGCCCCCGACGGCTCGGCGGCATGGGCGGTGCGGAGCGGTGAGTGGCAGCCGCCGGGCCGGCCCCAGAGCCGGGCACGCACCGGGGGCGCGGCGTGCGGGCGGGCAGCGGCTGCGAGCGCTCCGTCATCGGCATTGTCACGGCCCTTCCCGTTCCCGGCAGGCGCAGGGTTGGGACTGTATCTGAAGAGCTCCCAGACACGCTCGAGAAACGGGCCCTGCAGGGAAAAGCCCGGGGATCCAGGAAGGGTCCTGCTGCCCCCTGGCCCCGTGGCTGATAGCAGCAGGAAAGGTGAAACAGCAAGTTGAGAACAAACGGTATTTATTTTCCATCTTTTTTCCACCCTTGTTCTGGCATTTAAGGGCTCGTTTCAAGTTCCCTGTGCAAAAGCCTGCCTTCCGTGCAATCAACAGCAAAACGCCCGCTGAATTGGTTTCACCCCCCTCCCATACCAAATCAATGTCAGCACTGTGATGGCAGCATCCATCACACTCAAGCACGTAAATCCCATTAAGCGCTGAAGGAACCGTACTCATGCACGTCTCATGAATCACGCAGCTTGTATTTCCAGAACAATTGAGGATATTAAATCATACCTCAGTATCACAGCAACACTATACCCTGCTGAAGTCCATTGGATGCCAAACTGCACTAAAGAGCTCCGAATGACAAAGCAGTGCCCCGGGCCGTGGCTCAATCAGGACACACCAATGGGGGCTGAATGCTTTTGTAAGTGACAGTAATGAAACCCCACAGCTGCTGGGTGCATCACAGGGCAAATGGCACTGCTGTAACCATGAGGCTTAAATTTCAGCTCACTTGGTATAATTTTATGTCTTCCTTTTGCAGCCTTGAGAGTGGTCAGAAGACAGTGTTTTCCAATGGGAAATAAGAGAGGAAGGGACACGGATATAAACCCCACAAGCTTGCCATGCCATTTTTAGAACTGTAAGATGTGTTCTGCTATCACTTTACCACTGAGCTTCAAGAAAAATATCTACAGAGCAAGCAGGATGCCTCCTGGGAAGTGACAGACATGGGCATGCTGGTGATGGGATGCCATGAGGGATCTCCCACCTGAATCCAACCACAGGAGCTCCCAACACGGTGTCAGCCCCTGTCCCAGGCACAAGAGGAGACACAACCACGTCCTGTCCCCATTTCCCAGTGTACCACCTGGGTGTATCTCTAAGAACATCACGCTTTCCCCGAAGCCCAGCAGCACTGTTTAGATATGTCCCCGCCTTTGACGCAAGGGAACGGCTGCTGGACCTTGATTGCAAACAGAGCCCCTGTGACCTGGGAGCCCCTGAGCTTCCAGATAGGACAGCTCAGCTGCTCACTGCTGTTTGGGAAATGCTCAGCAGCACAAAGCTGAGCAACTTCATGCTTAATTAATTTCCTTCCCCACTGACCTGTGTTTATGTGTGCTACTATGTTCTCCCATAAAGGTGCAGGAAGAAACAGCAATGCCAAAGCACAAGGGGATTCATTGCATTCATTCCTGTAAGCATTGTGGAGAGAAACAAAGACCTTCCCTCTGTAAAGAAAAAAAAATAAAAAAAAAAGTTTTCCTTCCACTCTTCCATATCACCTTGCTCGTGGACTTAATTTCTGACAGCAAATCCTTCAGCCAAGCAGAGGGGAATTCTACAGCTCTTTCTATTATTCTGTCCAGAGATTGCTGTTAACCCCCAGTCACGTACCTGGTAACTATGAGGCTGTACAAGTGCTCTCACCACTGGGCTGCACAAAAGCTGCTGGTAGCTGCTCCACATCTCCCTGGGCTGCAGACCCATCATGACCATGCTCATGGATACCTTACAGCTGCAGTGCAAGGATGCAGGAAGAAATATTCAAAATCTAACTTTTCTCTTTTGTAAGACAGTGTGAGGTAGTAGGGCTTGAAGTATAATTTGGAAGTGTATGGGCAGAGCCCAACCCACCCCCACTGACCACATCCCTCAGTGCCACATATCCAGAGTTCTTGAACATCTCCAGGGACGGTGACTCCAGCACTCCCTGTGCAGCAGTGCCAGTGTATCACCACTCTTTCTGAGAAGAAATTGTTCCTAATATCCGATCTGAACCTCCTCTGTAGCAACTTGAGGCCATTGCCTCCCATCCTATCAACTGTTCCCCAGCAGCAGTCTGACCCCTACCTCACCACAGCCTCCTTTCAAGCAGTTACAGAGGGCAATAAGGTCTCCTCTGAGCCTCCTCTTCTCCAGACCACACTATTCCAGTTCTCTCAGCCCCATCCCATAAGACTTGTGTTCCAGATTCCTCACAGCTCTATTGCCCTTCTCTGGACAAGACATTCATATTGCACGAGGCTCTTTTACTCCCAATCTGCCATCAGATGGCAGCAACTGAACGTGGAATGAGAACTCACCGCTCTGCTGGCACGGAGATTTCACACTTTTCACTTGTAGGTCAATGGCCCGGGTCAGAAAGGGCCAGAGACCTCCACAGTCCAACAGCTGCTCAGCCTCTCTGAGAGCAATTTGTGGGTTCCCATTTCCTACCTTATGGACGCATCTGGTCTCATCACTGGCACTGATTGGCACCTCCACCTGAAACACCGACAGAAAGGCAAAAGATGCTCCTAAAAGACTGAATTCCCTACTTGTGCTTAAGGTGATACAACAAAGGGGAGTGTTTATCTCCCTGCACAAGACTACTCTCCGCAACAGAGCCAGAACGCATTGGCTTCGTTCCCTCTGCAAGCGAATAAATGCTGAAAATGATCTCATTCTGGACAGGAGGGTGACAGTTGGGGTTTTTCAGCAGATCAAATTAATTGCTTATTAATTGAGGATATGATATCCAGATAGACTAAGGATGGCGCAACCAAATCCTGTCAAACATGTTGTAACACACGTGTTATTTACAGCCTCTGTAACCGCAGGGACAAACTCTGTCCAGAGCTGCCTTACAAGGTGACCTAATTTGGGAAAGAAAACAGATAGAGAATTTTCTCACAGTAGAAGATACCTCTCTGTGACTCTTTCCCTTAAATTTTTAAGCCCTGTGAGGGACTGGAACAACTGATACTCTCCAGAGAAACACATGAGATAAGAAAAGAGCCCAGCAAGCATGTGATTGTGATATAGTTCAAGCCTGCGTGTGTATCACTCAGCTCGTCTGTTAAGACTGGAGAAGCATGTCACTACGAAAATCCCTCTGGGCAGCTGGGCACCTCTCCAGTGCTCCGATTTCCCTTGCTGCTAATGAATCAGCCTCTTTTCAGCTAACTTACCTCCAAAGCCTGTTTTGTTGGAAACCGAGGGAGCCTGGGGAGCAGGGCTCTCTCCATGCATAACAATGACCTATTTTAGATACTTCTCCTCACACGGTCATGGAGAAGGAGCAGCAAGAGAGCGCTTCTATCCAAGAGGCATTTCCTGGAATAGGTCCTAGACAATGTCGGCCCATTTCCATTTTGAGACCTGACATTTTGTGGTGCCAATGCCTGCACACAACAGAAGATGCCAGTGAGAGTCAGGGATGGGATCCTGCTGCCTCATTCCAAGGACATACACACAGGCTCTCTGCACGCGTGGCTGTTCTCACAAACAGCCCTTACTGTGGAAGCTGATAACACTAAATGGGAACTCCTGCTACAGAATGGCAAAGGAGAGCAGGGGGATGTTTTCCACCTCTGGGCATGTTTACATTGCTTGGCTTTCTCAGCTGTCACGAGCAGTACAGCATAAGAACCAGAAACATGTATCACTGAATTCATCCTTTCCAAAGCCCTCTGTTGCCCAATGGTTTCCCCAGGCTGAATTAGCAGTGCAGCTCCGCATGACGCTGCAGGAAAGATGCACCTCGTGCCCCAGAAGAAATGCTTGGAAAGAGGAAATAGATCACGTGTCATCTCATCTTTAAGAGGAGGGCAATTGCCTGAGCCAGAGAAGAAGCAAAACTTCCCCCCCCCCCCTCACAGATAGCGTCCTGAGACAAAATCAAAAGAAAAATCAAACTACAATGCAGTCATTGCATACTGTATTTTAACCCAAACATCACATGCAGCTCAGATCCCAGGCTAGAACCCAGTGCTTTCAGTTCATTTTTGGCTGATCCCTTGCAAGGCCAGAAGGGAACAATGTCCAATGTGACTCAAAGGACACAGTGCACCTTTGGGTTGAACGGCAGCATTTTTGTTGCAAAAGCACTCACCCTACATTAAAACAGGCAGTAGCAGAAGAATCAGCCACTGTGCACTTCTTTATGAGGCTGAATTTGTCTGCCTTCAACTTCCAGCTCACTGATGTACTTATATCCTTATGACTACCCAAGCTCACTTTCCAACTAGCACTTCTCTTGCATCTCTCACTATTAGGCAGGCAGATAAGGTTCCGTTCACTCACGTGCCTCTCCTCAATCTCACCCCAATTAACTAACATCTTTCTAGTCTGCTACTGAGTGGAGCTCAATACTGGCCAGCAGCACTGAATCCAGACAAAACCAAACCTTTCTGTGACAGCAGAAGATTTTGTCCATCAATCCAGTGATCCAGACCTCTAGAGGCTGGCATATCATCCCATAAGGTTTCCTAACCTAAAATGTTTCCTTTCCTAAAATGCTGTGTGGCATCTTTCATGAGTCTCCTGCATTATTCTGACCTACAATACTTAATCAGCTCTTAAACGCTGATGGATAACACAACTTTCTTCCTGCTCTCCTGGAGGTTTACTGTTCTTCTCCTGCAGGATTTCTGACTTTCATTCTCACTCCATTTCTCACTGCCACTGACAGCTAAAGCAAGTAAGAGGGAGAAAAAAAAGAGAAGTTGGGGTGTTCCTAGCTACCAAGAGGTAGCTACTCAAATTTATTAATGGTGACAGCACATACGCCATGTTCAACTAACAATTTTAAGCATTAAATAGGAAGCATTCTTCCTGACCCTTGAAAACACATAGGATATGATGATGAATGATCACCATAGCATAATTGCACCTATGCCAGGAAACAAGACAGCTGTATTTGTGCTAAGCACACATCAGTCTCCTGCAGCGTACATGAGAACACAAGGCAAAAGTTGGCAGTACTCAGTCTTGCTTGGTTCATAGTGACTACTTCAAGGCAACCTGCAGAGCCATTCAAGACCATGTAGAATGCAAAGTGACTTGATGCAAGACAGTCCTGTGACTGGTACATCTCATCTCTGATTTCTTGTGCCTTGTGCGCAAAGGAGATGGCAGTAGGAAATCTTCCTGCTAGGATGGAACAGCTCTACAAGTAGGTAATGGAAGCACTGTTTCTACCATTCAGTTCTGCCTGGGAATGATTTTTTAAGGTAAGACAGTAATCCTTTTACTGAATCTTTTTTATTTATAGCTGTTAAAATAAACCATCCTTCAAAATACTCAGTCCCAAAGAACGTTGGGCACTGTTAAGTACATCTAGAGACCTATCATTGCTCCCAAGAAAAAGGAACAAAGCTCACATCCCTTCCCTGCAGAAAAATGCCTCTTACTTAAGAGGAATTAAATCTAGATGGCTATTCCTTAGGGCACAGCTGTGCTGTAGAGATTTTGAGTGACTCACAAATGAACATGTTGAAATCTCTCTCTGGTTTGTTAGGATATTTCCTCAGGCAACCATTTCGTTCTTGCTTTTTTCCAGTCTGTGTTCTGAACTGTTGCATTTGACTTCTTAGCCACGTGCTGCTGCAAATAGCAGCTAATATTCCCATCCTGGTTTCGGCTGAAATAGAGTTAATTTTCTTTCATAGTGGCTGGTTTGATGCTATGTGGATACAGGAGAAAAACAATGTTGATTTACCTCCAAGCAGCATTGTTTGATAAAATGGAGTATGCACACAAACCGATTTGGTGGGCCTGAATGGCAGAGGAAATTAGTCAAGGGATGAAGAAACTCTTTCACTCTGAGGTTACCAATTATAGTTGTATTCAGAGAAGCAATAGCTAGGAGTCATTAGAAGCTAAGGATTGCGTGGTGTCATCTGGAATGAGTTGCTGGGCTCAGTCCAGCCCCTGCTTGACAGGTGTTCCAGAGAGCACCATGAGAAATGGCCTCAGGCTTGGCCAAGTCAACAAGTCTTAGCAGAAAACAGGGGGCTTGAATGGGATTATGAGGATTAAGCAGAGTCATTTGCTACCAAGAAGCAGCATTTAAAAAGGACAGTTATAGCCACAGGCTTTCAAGGGCACCTTTTCAACATTGTTATCTAAGAAGGCAGGTATGGTTTTGTGTACCATGTCTCACCACGTTCTAAACATGCATGCAAACTGCACAATTATTATGCAAACGCATTTTAATCCTCAAACATCCCAGTGGAAAACTCCCATAAGGCAGTATTTGGGCCTTTAGAGGCACCAAACTCAACCTAGTTCCATGGATTTGGGGACAGACTTAATAGAAGAATCATAGAATGACTTTGGTTGGAAGGAACCTTAAAGATGATGTAGTTCTACTCCCCCTGCTGTGAGCTGGTTGCCAACCACCAGGTTAGGCTGCTCAGGGCTCCATCCAACCTGGCCTTCAAAATCTCCAGAGATGGAGATGGAGATGGAGCATCCACAGCCTCCCATGGAGCAACATGGCAGCACCTCACCTCCCCCTCAGTGAAAAACTTCCCCCTGATACCTAATCTAAATCTCTCCTCCATTAGTTAAAACCATTTCCTCTTGTCTGATCATTTTGTACTTCTCCAGGCAGGGATGGTCACCCTGACAGCACCCTCAAATACTGCAGTTTTTGCTCAGCCAGCCCTTGTTCACCCAGAGAGCAACACCCATTGCTGTATTGTTATGGATTACTGCTTAAGAGCAGAATCTGTGAATTGGGTAATAAGGAAGGCATATTAGTAGTGTGAGTATTCATGAGTATGAATAATAGAACAATACTGTGATGCCTTCCATCTTATTTACAGGCTTCCTCAAATAGATTATTTGTTAAGTAGTGTTTTGAAACTTAAAACAAAAAAAAAAAGCATTATGTCAACATCCTGCTCCTGCTGTCATTAGGCACACAAAAAAGCAGCTTTTGGATCCAGACCATCTCCATCAAACCACAGGATGCTTCAAATCCCAGGTTTTCACTTCTCCCCACCAATTACCATGTGCTCCTTTCCTCCCCTGTGCAGCACAGGGACAAGCCTGCTGACCTGCAGATTCTTGCTCAGCACCATTCATTTGTGCGTGCCCAAATCTGACACTCTCCTCACTATGAAAACCTCCAGCAACAACTTTTTTTCCAGCACTTCCACTTCTATTTCAGTGGTGACTTCTTCTCCTACACATCACACACTGATATCCTTCTCTTTCCTTCCCCCCATCAGTGCTAATTTCCTGCACAGAAGCAGTCCCTGCAGGCCCAGCACAGCTCAGCAGCCCTGCTTGCAGCTTGGCACATCACTTGCAGGAAGATAGGAGTGAGGGGAAAGCTCACATGCCTGCTTTGAGCTGCAGTGTTCTTGCAACATGGGAAACAGGCTTACAGTTGCCTGCCACAGCTCTGCAACAGAGACCGATCAGGTTCATTTGGGGCCATGCCAGGTTCTCCTAAAAAAAGGAGTATTTATTTATAACGGACCTGTGAGATGGAAAACTGACTTCTATATTTAATAGAAAGTGCTCCCAGCAGATTAACCCTGGCAGTATAGGGCATTGGGATTCATTGGGTTCTTTTTGAGTATGTGCTACTATACTTATCCTCTTTCTAGGTCTAATTCTCCACAGAGCCAGTGTCTGATAGCACTATTTACTCTTCAGAGGGCAGCTAGTTTATTTTCAGGCTCTCAAACCAACCAGGCTAAGAACTGCATTGGAAGGAACTTTCTAGGGTTTAGTTGTTGTTTTAAGTTTCTTAATTTTGGAATATAAAACTACTCTCAAATGCACCCTTGATGCTATGTGCCATAGCCTCAGATATTGTATGACCTAGGGCAATTCAGAAAGACCACTCCTCTTGTGATGCCAAACTCATGGGCATGTTCCCACATAAGTGACAAGATTGGAATTGTAAAGGTTGGTTAAAGATCACTAAGATCATGGAGTCCAACCCCTTCCCACCCCCACCGTGCCCACTGACATCCCTCAGTGCCACATCTCCACAGTTCTTGAATATCTCCAGGGACGGCGACTCCACCAATCCCAGTGCAGCCTGTGCCAGTTCATCACCACTGTTTCTGAGAAGGAATTTTTCCTAATATCCAACCTGAACATCCCAGGCATTACTTGAAGCCATTACTTCTCATCTTATTACTGTTGCCAGGAAGATGCTGACCCCACTTTGCCACAGCCTCCTGTCATGGAGTTGTAGAGGGTGATAAGGTCTCTCCTGAGCCTCCTCTTCTCCAGACTGATCCACCCCCTTCCCTCAGCTGTTCCCATAAGACTTGTTAGAAACACCACATCAGATGGGCTGAGGAAATCACCCTTCCAAGTACAGTGGTTTGAGTATTTCCCATGACTGGGAAGTCACACTGTACAGCAACACAGTAGCTGTGATGCCCACATGTAGGTAACAGCTGGGTGCAGGCAGACACTTAACCTGTGCTTGTGGAGCTGCCCTTAAATGTAAAGCAGCATCTCCAGAATCAGACTCAAGAGCACAACAGAACAAAAATGCTACAAGAGGATGGCCATCACACATAGGTGCAGATTGAAGGAATAAAGCTTGGCATGCTGCTGATATCCCTGTTCCAGCACGGGTAATTTACATTCCTCAAATCTGCATTTCCACTCCTGCTTCAAAGTTATGCAGTCCTTGATCTCTACCTTGTTATGAACTGCTGTGCCAGGCTGGAGAAAGCACTGCTGTAACATTCAGTTCCAAACATGGGTACATTCCAGAAGCAGGGGACACTATTTCTGTGCATTTCCTTCTAGGCAGACCAGTTGGGCTTGTTTTGAGCCTAACTTTCTATTTGTGAAGGACTTCGGGGACCCTACCCTTTACTACTCGGGTTGCATTTCCCTTGTGGTATGTTTAATGAAACTGAGACATGAGGACTTTTAACTAGCTTATGCAGCACCACAGAGATGCCAACAGAGCACTCCAAGCAGAATACCCACTGTCCTTAATGCTGTAACCATGAGATTATATCAACTTCTACCTCTCCCTGATCTCTTCTTGTCTAAGTTCTTCTCCCTAATAATGAGGAGCCCCTTTCCAGCCTCAGACTTCAAGCATTTGTGTTCTCCTCCATGCAAGGAGGTCTTGTCCTGACATAGCAACTCCAGACTCTCCAGCAAACTCACTTAGAAATCTGAGTACATCCAACTGTTTGTGTGTGTGTATATATTTTCTAGTGTCACACACTCTCTTAAGCACAGATACATATAAATATATATACACACACATATAAATCATATTTCCTGGTAGGACATATACATATATACTCATACAGTGCTGAGAGGAGCCATCAAACACCATGGCTTTTCAGGAATCTGCATGCTCGGTATTATCCAAAGCTCTGTGCCTCTGGCCATAAGCAGAACGATTTGCTTCCCTCTATTAGCAGTGAGTGGTTTATATTAGATTTTAAGCTCTGCTGATTCAGAAAGAATAAGTCACAACACATGATATACTCTAAATAAATACTTCATCTGTTTATCAAAACCTTTGAAGGATGTTGGCACCCTCCAGAGGCAGCATGGTCTTGCTGTTAAGAAAGCTTGGATAAGACAAGCCAATGCTTACATTTAGCTCTTGGCCACATGCTGCTGGTTTGAGCAGCGCTTCAGTTTCCCGTGTCGCTGTCTCCTCATTTATGCTACAGGGATAATTACACTTAACAACTGAGCATGGTCTAGGGTAAAGCTTTCTTAAGCACTTGGCTGAAAAAAGCTGCAGACACACAAGATGTTGAATTTATGGATTCTCATTCCATTAGTTGTTAGCTTCTGCCACAAATAGGACCAAAACAGCTTTGATGTCTTAAGGGAAGATCTATTTATGTACTTGCATGCTAAGCAGAAAATAGAGTCAGGCAAATAGGTTTCTCTGTTTGGTGGTCTTAGCTAATAACAATAGCCCTCATGCATTTAATGCATCACTGGGCCAGAGGAGAGAGACATGTGAATGGACCCTGCCCTGCACTGCCTGGAAAGCCCAAGCTGGCAGCAAAGCCATTCAGAGTAACGAGAACCATAATAGGTATGCAGCCTTGCACTTTCCATATTTGTGAGCCTGCAGCAGCAGCAGCGTTAGTAGCGCATTACATCTTGTGATCCGCTCTGTAATAATACGCCTGAACAGACGGTGACATTAAGGCTGAGGGAAACGTTCTACGGCGCGCAGGCAGGAATGAAGGTAATAATTTAATGAGCTTTTGAGGAATTTGCACCCTCCCAGAAGATTCTGGCCATGAATGAGCATTAAAACAACTTCCTTCCCATCTATAACACCAGGGGACTATCACTCTAACTGAACAAATGCCAGGTCACAAGGCTAAAAACAAATAATACTAGTCTTGTAGAGCTGCAAAAGAGATCTTGCTGCAGTTCTTCCTATCTTTCAAATCACTTTATAATTAAATACATTCTCTTAAACTGAACTGAGAAAGCCCTTCAGAAGTCCTTTGCAGTTTGTCCAAGCAGAATAGCATAAAAGCAGCAAAAGGCTCCAGTCTTTCTTCCCCAAACAGAGCATCTCTCCAAAACACTTCTAATATTGGAGGCAGCCATAAAGTCTGACAAAAAAATCTAGCTACATGCTCAAACCTACTACAATCCTCTCTTCTCTCTTGAACCCCCTTAACATGTTTCAGATTTTTTTGGCTTATTTTGTTGCCCCTCAATATAATAATAATCTACATTGAAATGCTGACAAGCATTCAGAAAGATAGAGGAAATTTTACTTGAGCTCACAAAGAGCTTTCAAACTACGGAATAATGAAGTTCAGGCCAGCATACTTCCAAGAATAGATCTTTGGAAGCATAAACTTCTACTTGCACATCACTACAACAAAGGATAGAATCACAGTATCATTAAGGTAGGAAAAAGACCTCTAAGGTCATCTAGTCCAACTGTCCATCTACCACCAATATTGCCCACTAAGCTGTGTTCCTCAGTGCTACATCTCCATGTTTCTTAACACCTCCAGGGACAGTGACTT